GAACACAAATAATAATTTGAGAACACTAATTACTATTAGTATGTTCTCATGAGAACAGCAATTAGACCTGAAATTTCAAACACTGATTGTACAGATCTAATCTACGTGAACATATAGCAGTATTTTCTTAACTATACAGTAAAATACTAAGGATTAGCACACAACTTTCCAAAATCACAATTAATCTTATCACCCAAAATCTTTTTAAATATACTCCATTTACAATATTCACCATCACAACCTGGAATTATATATGGTTCAGAATTAACACAAAGTCGCATTAATACATCCTTGCCTGGAGAAGTATAAATTTCAAAGTAAGAAGTAGAAGACCAATATAGAACTTCTTGTTCTGTATATTTTAAGCTTTTTATTTTTTCAAGAGATAAATCTGCTGTAAGTGGATTTTCATTTTTAAATACACCCTAGGATTAAACAGTATAATTAATTATTAATACATAAATAAATAAATAATTAATGCTGAAATATAATAGAAATATAATAGTTTTTTTTTTTACATACCAGTAAAGTAAGTACAACAGACTCAGTAAATCCATGAGCAAATTTCATATCAGCTATCATCCGAGATTTTCCGTTTAAGTAATCCTCAACGCTATTTACAAATTGTGTAATGTAGGCACAGCCCAATTGCTCATTAAGAGGATTCCCATATGAATATTGATAATAATTTCTCATATTCCAATAATATTTAGCTAATATAAGTTCATCATCGCTTAGCAGTCCGCACCAAGTATCAGTTCGATTAAATTGAAGGACCCAGAATTGACAATAATAAAATATATATGGCACTAAATACGGATCAAGAGGTGGATTGATATTGTATTTTTTGGACATTCTTTCTGCTATTGGTACTAAAGTCTTATTACTATAAGAATAAGTTTGCTCTATGTAACGTGTAAAATTAGTTGAAACTGTCTGGTTCCAACGTAGACAAGCATTCCACATTTCTAAAAAAGCATCATGACCCTAAAATATATAAAATAATATAATAATTAAAATTAATGAATAAACAAAAATATATATATTGATGTTACTTATAATATTTACCGGTTGAAAAGACCAAATGTATACTGGCTCATTTTTACAAGGACCTACAGGGCCAGTTCCATCCAATAATGCTTCCGAAAAAGACATTGATGATTGACTAATCCTTTAATATATTGTAATGAAGATATTTTAGTATATAAGTCATGTGCTTAAATTAATACTTGTGGCAACTGAAGATTGTATTTGCTAAAGTTGGGATTTGAGGCCGATTTAAATCTACTAAACCTATTAAACTTACAAAAATTTACTTATACTCTTTTATTAAAACTATAATTACCCTAAATTATAACACGGCAAAAAAAAAAAATTTACGCATAAAAAAAACTTTTAAATTTCATTTTAAAATAAGCTTAAATCCCAACTTCATCAATATCTGTCTAATTTCAATCAGATATAACCTTTTTAGGACTAGGGTATTTTAGTGAATATGCACAACTTACCAAAAAGTATTAGCAGTCTGAAATTTTACAATGTCAGGGTCATATTCGACATTTTTCCAAAATTTTCCGTATCTTTTAAGAGATTGTAAACCAAGGTAATAAGCTTCACGTTTACCTCTTGTAGTTAATCGAAAATTTTTTTCCTCGAGAAAAGGATGTTTAGGCTAAAAAAAAATTATTTTATTTAAATAAGCAAATAATATTTTAAATGTTGTACTTTATTAAAAAATAAGAACACTTATCAGACACGTCTTATGCGATTATTGAATGATTTCCTACTTATTCAATACAGTCTACAAATTTCACTCATCTTTTAACGAGACGAGTGAAATTTTGTATATTGTATTAGCAGGTGGTCGAAAGTTACACGGAAATCATTCAGTGCTTACGTCAGACATGTCGGATAACAAACTTATCAATCGAGTGTTTAATAAATGAATAATCAGTTATCAGCTACAACACGACTGATAACTAGTATATTTACCCAATCTTTTGATACAGAAACATTTGCAAATGCTTTATCAATTTTATTAAATCCTTGAATCTGGTCTAGATTCGGTAATCTCGATCCTAATAAATAGATTCCAAAAAAAAAAAAACTTTATATCAAAATTTTGTTGTGTAATTTTCATTGTGTATATGAATAAATAATTACCATGTCTAGCAAGTAAAAATAACTGGGTTAATGTATAACCATCTGGATAGCTTATAGGCTTAACGTCATCAAGAGAA